GTGGTAGCCGGGCACCATCTAGTTCTTCTGGTCTCAGGCTGATGAAGTCTCTGGTTTTTGTGGCCCTTTCTGTCTCTTGGGCTAATACTTTCCTTATGTCTTCGGTGTTATTCATTCTCCTTTGCTCCAGGTGAGTTGGGACCAATTGATGCATCTTAGATGGCTGCTAGCTAGCTTTTAAGACCCCAGACGCCAGTCATCAAAGTGGGATGCAGAACATTTTCTTAATAAACTTCGTTATGCTGATTGAACTAGATGTCCCCTGAAACCATGGTCCCCGGACCCCGCTCCCCACTGCCCCCCCGCTACTCTGTCCCTCAAAGTGTTTGTTTATATTCAGGAAACTTCTTAGCTTTGGTTTAGTCCAGTTGTGCTGACTTCTCTGAGGGGGTTATTGACACTGTCCTGTGTCTGATGGACTAGAGAGAAAAGCACCTGTTTTCTCAGGAGTCCTTTTTAGTCCTTTTTGCTTATAGCAATAGTATATGCTAGTTCTAGGAAAAATTGGAAATACGTAGTGAAGAATCGAGAAGACAGTCGGTAATCCCTCAAGGTTTGTTCCCATCTGGTGTATTTTCATCTGGTCTTTTCCAAGTCCTTCAGTTGGTTAGTCCCACAGCCCCGCAGACCCTCACAGACCCCTCTGTGAACCTGCTCTGCCTGGAGCCTCCTCCCCTCCTCAGGACTAGGACCTGTGAGGCCTCCTCACTGCTGAGCAAGGTGTGGGATGCAGCATACCACAGGCAACACCTTCATGCCTGAAAGCCACGTGCACACGTTCATGTGTACTGTACCTCATGATTCACATCTTTTAGACTCAGAATGGTTCTAGAGCTGGTCCACAGTGCCTGTCTGCTACAGCACCCACCATGGCAGATGTGGGATGGTGCTGGTCCACAGAGCCCACCGTGGCAGATTCGGATGGTTCTGGCCCACAGAACCCCCCGTGGCAGATACGGATGGTTCTGGTCCACAGAGCTCACTGTGGCAGACACAGGATGATTCCGGTCCACAGAGGTCACCGTGGCAGACACAGGATGGTTCCGGTCCACAGAGCCCACTGTGGCAGAGGTGGATGGTTCTGGTCCACAGAGCCCACTGTGGCAGATGCAGGTTGGTTCTGGTCCACAGAACTCACCGTGGCAGATGCAGATGATTCTGGTCCACAGAGCTCACCGTGGCAGATGCGGATGGTTCTGGTCCTCAGAGCCCACCGTGGCAGATGCGGATGGTTCTGGTCCTCAGAGCCCACCATGGCAGACATAGGATGGTTCTGGTCCTCA